GACTATACAAGAACTTTAAAAGTGGCACACACCTTGCTCTGTTACTGGTTCCTGTGCCATAATAAGGCTGCGTCTGGTCGATAGCCAGTGTAAAAATCTTGTCAAATCAATAAGGTCGTGCTAACAGCAAATAGTTGGTTCAGAGTCTATTGAAATGATAATGAAGATTTACGGCACATATCATGTTTTATCTATTAAACCAATTTTGAACATTTCTCTGAGATTAACTAATTTATTTAGTTTTTTGATAAATAGTGATTTTAAAGCCTCAATTAATTTATGAATTCATAAATTTCAGAAAAAACCCCCCAGTCAAATGCTAACGTCAATTAAAATCCCTAATGTTGAACTCATACAGTTTTTAATTCGTGATACTTTTTCATCAAATTCAATAAATCAACACAAATTATTCAATACTTCTGAAGTTCCATTGTTTGTTGAAATCGATAATGTTAAAAGTAATTTTGTTTATGTAAGTAAAAAAATTATGTATAATTTTGGAGTACTTGTAATACCTACTAATAATATAATTCTACAATAATTCCTTTCAGATTAGAGCATTTTTCAACACTAAAGACATGGCATTACATTTAAGAAAATACTTACCCGTTTTTCTTGGTTCAATAACGAATAGTACTATAATACGAAATGGTGTAGAAATAGATTATATAGAATTAGAAAAAGATATTCTTCAAAAACAAGCATCTATTGGGATTTCTTCAGGAACGTTTACATTTGGATATTTTTCCTCTGTTATAAATATGTCAGTTAAGGTATGTTCTAATGTCAGAGAATGTTTACATTTTTTTAATTAAAAAAAAAAAAGAAATTTCTTATTTTTTTAAATATTTTTTATTTTTTTATCATAATGTACGTATTTTACGATTTTATATTAATATTTATTTTATTATACTTAACTTAATATGATTTTGGAAATTATTTCATTCAATTCAAAGTTTGATTGTTAAAATAATTTTTTTTGTTTTACTTATCATAATCATGTTATCATATTGGATATAATAATTAATCAATCATTTATTTAGTTTTAAATATAAAATTTTAATAATTAATATTTGAAACTTTAAACTCATAATGAATGTTTTAATTGAATAGGTCGAACTAGAAAAATATCAAAAAAGCATCAAATGGCTTCATGATATTCTTTATAATACAGTCATTACTAAAAATTGGCTTTCTGTTATATTGTCAACAATGATAAATGAAATTTCTAGCTATCGTAGAAATGGAAGAGACATGGTAAATCAAATTTTAACGAATATGGTGTACAAACAAGGTAATTATTGAATTAGATTAGAAAAATAGAACAATCATAAAATATTTATAAAATCTATATACATAGTGATTCACTTATTATGAACCACTTATTTAATCGAAAAATAAAAATAATATTAATAATTTCTTTTAGTTTCTTTAAGGTAAATGTTTTTACCTAATTTCCCAGACGTACTTTTCTTTGCATTTACATATAAATAATTCAAGAAATCCTGAATTACTGGTCCAAAATTTGTTAACGATCAGTCTTTTCAATAAGCTAGTAAACTAGGGGTGTTGTTTTTTGAAAAACGAAAGTTGTCACATTTATAAGGTATAAGGATGAACATAAAAAAACTTTGGGACTGAAAAATTGAATGAAACATTAAACTAAAAGAAACAAATAAAAATATTATTAACATTATTTTATTTTTCGACTAATTACGTGGTTCATGATAAATGAATAATTTTGTTTATAAATATAATGTGTAATGAGTATTTCTTTTATTGAAGTAAAGTTGGTAGGACTGGATTGACCCGATTTCAGGGAACCGTGATGCACTAATTTCCCACCCCGTGTCATCTTTTGACATCACCACCAGTAGTAATGTTTAAATAAACTCATCACTGCTACCATGTCACAACGACATTAGTGTAAGTAATTGTCGCTGTGACTCTAAAATAAAATAAAATGCGACTGACAAATGAGTACTAATGTCTGTAACAGTAATCAGTACATTGGCAAAATGACAGTATACATGTGCTATGTATTATATTACAAATAACTTATATTTCATCCATGGATAAAAATTAATCAGTAACCACTTTTCTGTTACTTGTCTAATTAATGATAATATTGATTCCATCAAATGTATAGATATATTAATGAATATTATGGAAATGATAAACCTTTTACACATATTACGTTGAAGTATCGTTGTAACTAATTGTTATTGCATCATTTGGGTGATATATGGTAGTATTATGTGGTGAAAGCTGTATTATAAAACGAAAGCAATAAAAGTTTCATCGTGTGGCGTAAATTTACGCAGTATATTAGAAATCATATATTGTGATTGGAATGAGTGTCTCTTATCCATTCGGGGTGAATTATATAGCAGTTTAAAGGAATCACGTCAAATGTTATACATTTTTATAGTTTCGTTGCGAAACTGAAAAGGTATTGGTTTTGTGTTTTTTTTATGTTTATCCATTAAAATGCGCAGTTCACATTGGACCATTTTTAATCATCAATATCTCAAAAGAACCTGATTTTAATCTAGTAGAACCAACGTAAAATATTTAGTAGATCATAAGTAATTAGATTTGTCATGACATCGCGAAACGTTCGATATATTAGGAATTCAAATAGTTTCTTGTAAACTAGCCAGTCGATTTCTTTTAAAAATTCATTTTATTTTATATTTTTATTTTTATTAGTTACATATATATCTCCATTTATTTGTTATAAAATAATTTATAGTTCTTCCTTTATATCTTATAAGGACGTCAAAATAATATTAGCTACGATGCGAAAAACAAAGCCTATAAATGTTTTGACTGTTTGTTTTTTCTCAGATAATTTTACTTAATAAAAATAAGAAATATTTTTTCGGTATTTTTTCCTATAGTAATTTAATACTCGGGTATTTTTTTTTAATAAGGCACAGAGGTCCATATATGGAACAGCTTAATAATTTATTTTATTTTTATACTTATAATTTTAATTTCCTTGTTAAAATTATGCTAATTAAACAGTTTTTTTAACAGATAACAATGCATACGTTTGTAGTACCTTAAGACAATATAAGTTTTTAACTAGTTTGCAAAAAACAATTGAAACTGAAGAAGGTTGGAAAATTGTAAATGAAGATTTGAATAAATTAAAATTATTTTTAACTAATCCAGATAACATTAAATTACACATAACTGGTAATATAGATAAATTATGTGATATTATTACTGAAGCTTCCGCTGCATTACATAAAATAATTCCAGATAATTCACAGCCATTAGTACATCCGTAATATAAATTGGAATATATTATTACAATTATATTTAATAATGAGTTTTATTGTTATTTTAAATTTTAGATTTAAAACACAGTTTGATTCTGAATTTATTTTACCTTTAAATCAATGTGAAATTCGAGGTTGTATTGTTGGAATGGGTTCTATAGTTTCAAGTTTTTTTATCCAAGCTACTGATTGTATAAACGATTATAACCATCCAGATATAGCTGCTATTCGTGTATTATTGATATACTTTACTCAGATGGAAGTATGTAATCGTTATGATTAAAATATATTTTTGTTAAATGTTTTTTTTTTTGAAATTGAGAAAAAGGTAATTCAATAATTTTTTACCAAATCAAAATGACCAAAGATATTATGTAGTAATAAGAATAAAGATAATATGATGCAATTTAAAGAGTGAGAAAATTTTAAACATTCTAAGTCTTCTTCTTACTCGCCTTAATCCCAACTACTTGGGGTCGATCACCCTAATCCTAAACTTTTACTTGACACGATTTCCCACGTCATTTACGCTAACATCAGTTGTCCTCATATCGCATTCAATAGCATCCCTCCATCTCTATTTTGGTCTTCCTCTACCTCTTCTTCCTTCAAAATTTCTGTAACTGTTCTTACAGCTTCCGCCGATTCTTCTCTCTTCATAACATGACTAAACCATCTAAGTCTATTTTCTCTCATCTTATCCACGATTGACGCTATACCTATACTCCCTCTTATTTGATCGTTCCTTATTCTATCTTTTCTTGTCACTCCACTCATCCATTTAAGCATTCTCAACTCTGTTCTACTTTTTTATCAACCGCCCAACACTCTGAACCATACATTATAACTGGCCTCACTATAGTCTTGTAGAATTTACCTTTCAACCTCATTGGAATTCTTTTGCACAACTGATCCTAAATACTTAAAACTTTCCATCTCTCTAATCATGTCCTCGCCTATTGTTAATGGTCTCCTTATTTCACCTACCTCCTGTTCTTCTTTATCAAACTCGTACTCTATATACTATTTACCGCACAAGTTGTCCGGCTGGTATCAAACACTTTATTCCTTAGGCCTTCTACGTTTTTAACTACTTTATTTCACTCTTACCTGTTGTCCCCGCGTACTTCCGAAATGGGACAATTTTCCTAAGTTTTGTTCAAGTCACCTAATACTATTTAACAAAAATTGTACACATTCATTTTAAACATTCTAAGTGCAGAAAATTAAAAAGTGTATTTTTTTGAATTAATGTTCTGTGTGTCTAGTTGTAAACAGAATGATTCTTTTAATATTAGCCACTCGATTACTCTTAAAATAATAATTATATTAAGAAAATTCTTTTTAGTATTTTTAATTTTATATAATCTAGCCTAATACAGTAGGGTAATGGCATAGTTGGGATAAGTATAGATAGTGATTAAAATCACTATCATGAAAACGCGTTAATGTTAATCTGTAGTATTTAATTTTTGAAGGAATTAAAAAAAAAATTATAAAAAATAAATGTTACATAAATTTCTTATTAAAATAGGTTATTTATTGTTGGATGGCATATTTTATTGTTTACGAAAAATTTTTGAATATATTCAATTTTAGCTTCGATGCGAAGCAAAGAAGGTATTGGTTTTACTATGATGTATTTTTTTTTGTGTCTGTTAGCACTTTTCTCCGAACCGATTTCTTTCAACGGTACGTCAAAATATCACAAATCGTATCTAATTTAAGAAATTTCCCTCGTTCCCCGTAAATGGGGGAAATCTCCAAAAAAATTATAAATTTAAAAATAGCTAATTTTCGAAATTTTTTTTACTTAAAATTTCTATAACTTTTTCAAAAATGAACAAATCAATATAAATTTTTTTTTATAGATTTATCATATCTATACATTTTATTTGGTATACTTTTTTTTTATAAATTTGACCATTTACCTGTCCACAGGGGGGATTCAAAATGACAACTCTTACACAAATAATTAAATTTTACACTTAACTTTTTCAACTTAACTTTTGAAAGTGTTCCGAAAACTCTAACACTTTTATATATATCTTAAATTAAAGATAATGTAATGTAATTTAATATGAAAAAAAAAATTTCGGACTTTATTTTGTCTTTACGGTGAAATTGGCTACCAAATGGTATTTTGGTGTGAAAATTCTCGATTTTATTTTTTACATTTTTAAATTTATAATCCTATAACTTATTAAAAAGTGTATGGACCAACACAATTTTGTTATGAGAAATAATATTTTTTAACAATCCTTTTTTCATTCGACATACTTTATCTTAGTCAGAATATTAATAAGGAAATAGCAGATTATGTAGCTTTTGGAATAATCCACCAATTTTTTAAAATTAAACACTATCTAAAGATTTGCATCGAAGCGTTTTTTTTTGATAGTGATTTTAATCACTGTCAGATATTATATTTGATCCAACTATGCCACGTCACGACTGTGCCGCGACCCCCCTGTGCTGGGTTTTTTAATGGTTTGTTTACATGGTAATCATCAACTAACCTCCTACTCCTATTGGTGGTTTTGTAAGTTAAATGTTAGGAACTTATAAAACTAATATAATAACTGGTGGTTGATAATAAATTTTGGAAGTTATTAGCAATTCAAAGCACAATNTTGATAATAAATTTTGGAAGTTATTAGCAATTCAAACCTAGGAAAGTAGTTAATCTAAAATTAAAAATATAAAATTATATTATAAGTTAAATATTATATTAAATTGTGTTTCCTTTCCACATTTTAAAATTAATCATCCATAGTGTAATCTTAATATGTGAAAAGAACTGTTAATGTGCGGATTTAAGTGAAATACCAGTCGAAAAAATAAAAATATATTTTTATAAGTACAATATTATTTCAAAAAGTAATGATGTTGTCTTTCATAACTTGCATTTATCACTAATTTAATTAATGTAATTTTTGATTTTAATAGGGACCTATATGGAAGAAAGTTTTAGCACCAGGTTATGCATATTCCTGTAATATTAGTATAGATCCAGATGAAGGAAAAATTTATTTAACTTTTTACCATTCTGTAAATGTACCAGCTGCTTATCAAGCTACTAAATCAATTATAGTATGTAGAATTTGAAAAAATTAATATTTTATACCTTGACACAGTCCTGCGTGGCTTTGTAATACAAAATGCCCCGCGATCAACGCTAACTTTATCAGCCTTTGTCCTATTATGAGTATTTGGTAGTTTGACTGACCAATACCACGTGCTATACGCCACGGTGAAAAATCCAGCAAGTGACGCACGACCGATGACGACCCGATGCAAATGTTATGTAGAATCTTCTTCTCATCATTAAATTGACGACGTCGAAGACGTACGTTACCGGTTCTGGCCGTATCGCACGACCGGATACCACAATCGATCCGCACCAGCGCACCGTCGCCATCAACACTGCTAACTTCAAACGACTGATAACCATGATGGACACTGTGTAGTCAACACCAGCGAAAGTTTCGTGATATTATACAAAGATTATTACTGTATTTACGGTTCATTGTTAATTTGTTGTTGTTCATTAATAATAAACGACCCACAGATCTCTATCATCAAATCCAGTGTCGACCACATTTTTGTGACTTAAGTCGTGACACTTTTTTAAGTTAATAAAAAAAATTTTATCATAAAATTGTAATATACTTTAAGATATAATTTCTCTATAATAATTTGAAATTAAAAAACTTAAATTTTTTTAATAATTATATAATACAAATTGATCACTTCTGTCTAATATTATTTGAAATTTTAAATATATTTAAAAAATTAATTTGAAACTAAAAAATATTAAAAATATTTTATTTGAAAAGCCACAAAAAATACTAAGGAACTCGTACGGGTATTGCGAATTTTAACATATACTATTTGAGTTTAACGCTGATGATAGTAACATTGTTCCCTAAATATGTATATACTTAATTTTTTGGTATTGTTTTTTTGTCACCGATTATTATTTTATGTAGAAATAATTTTTTGTTGTTAATATTTCTATGATTTTAGGAAGAACATTTATCGAGTGGATTTACTTGGGATCAAACACTTTTAGAATCAGCAAAAGGTTGTGCTACATTTCAAATGGTTAATAAGGAGAAGTCAGTTGATGTATCAACTACACAATCAATTTTGTTATACTTCCGAAATTTAAAACAAACTTATAACCAGTAATATTTTAATTAATATAATGTGTATGGTACAGAACGCCTTTAGAAGGATCTAGTTGACCAGTTGTTATAAAGATCATTGATTATATTATTTCGTGGGACAGCTGATCACCAGCATCTTGCTTTACTCACCCCCTTCCCACCCATCACAGCAAATCGATGACCTCCGTGTCGTTTTTCATCCGTGTACAGTTCAATGTCATAAGTCAGTCAGTCGTTTTGTTTTACGTGTCACTCCTTTTCTGTTGCAAGCGCCTTCGCTTGAATAGTAAATTGTTCGGCCGTTGTACGCCATAGTTTCTTATTATTTGTTTATTGCACCCTTGTGCTCAAAGTTTACGTGCCCTAGCACGCCACTAGTGATTGGGCCCTGACCATCACTAAATATCTTCATTGCCGTAGTCGCCTTTTCGCGGTCTGTTCTTATCTGCCATTACGTAACTGGATTTACACACTGACTCTTCATACTCAGATGTTCGACACTATTACCACAAGATCTCATACAGTCCAGTCATCATGATCAATAGCGTCATCTATACAGCTGAGTTTTATATTATTTTTAATGTTATTTATTGTTTGTTTTAATTGAGATTAACTATATGTTTTATGCCGCTTCGCCGGTCACTAGTATTTAAGGGCCCCACGTTACCCCTTAAATTTAAGATACTCTTTGAGGAATTTCTAATATATGTGATTATTTGTTATTTAATTATGGTCTACTCTCGTTTACTTATTGGATGTATAGTTAGCCGTCATCTCCTAGGTGACCCACTCCCGCATCAATATTAACGTCTTATTAAACAGGCTTAAGGTAAAACGGCATTCTAGTGCGGTGCACAACTAGCCGTCCTACGGTCTAGCTGCCTCGTACGCACCATAATGAAATATTAAAAAAAAAATGTATTTTCTTTAGAGACCTTATTAAAAAAATATCATTTGTGAAACTTGAAGATCTTCCTGACATTGGAAGAAAGTATGTGATGCCATTATTTAATCCACAATCCATAATAACTGCAATGGTATGTCCTCCTACAAATGTTGAAGAAACAGCTAATGAATTTGAAAAGTAATATTTTAAATGACATTAAGAGTGAAGTTGAGTATATGTAAACAAATGAAATAATTTTAAGTTCAATTTTTTTCTTAAAATATATAGTAGATATTATTTTATATTGAAAAGTTTTGGTCCTCATTTGTGTTAATTTAATATTAAATTAAATTCAAAATTAAAACTTGTAGATTTATCTAAAAAACTGAAATTACAATTATGCTAATAGTTTACTATTACACCACTTCACAATATTAATATAAATAACAATTTGCTAATGAAAATATTATTTACATTTACAGATTTGGTATTAAAATGAATGTTTATAATTCATTAGATGAAAGTATTCTAAATAACTAACAGTATACGCGTACTTATTTTATCAAATATAAAAGTTACTTTAAATTCTATTTATTAAATAAAATATATTATTCATTCAAAGAAAATCAAAGTACATGTTAATGAAATACTTATACTATAATAATTTATTTTTACATGAACATGTTGGTTTTTAGAAAAGTGTACATTCATCAAAATCTTCAAATATTAAAGACTATATAAGTTACATGATTTAGATTCATTAATATTTATTTTAGAGTTTGATAATGATTTAAAAAAGGATTCTCCGGGTTTTCAGAAAAATATTGTGTTCAAATATGACTAACTGATAACTGAATTTGTTAGTCATTTTATATAATAATACTATATATAATAATAGTTATTGTTTTATTATGTTAATTGCCATTTTTCTGTGTTTATATTACTAATTAAAAAATAATTTTTAATAACGCTGTTGTTAACCTTTAACAATTTATGTCTTAACTATTAGCTATAATAATAAAACGTATAATTTTTGGTATACATAACATATTACAATAATCATGATTAAATTGATAATATATAGACCAGTGGCGTAGCGTGTGCGTATACTGTGTATGCACAGCATATACTTCGCAAATTACAAAAATAATTTTTTTGATATATATTAATAATGCTATATTTTAATGAAAAAATTTTCAACTGTACTAATTTAGTATTTCATAATATAATATTTTGTGGATTTTCTTCCAAGTTCATTAATCATTTAAATTGATTAATCCGCAATACCACGGTCGCGCAGCGCTTTAGTCCTTATAATATCTAGTGGATAGTACCTACCATGTTTATTATGTACGCAGTATGCACGTTGGCGAGTGCATACGGGTACAGACATTCAGCGACAGTTAATTATATTCCTTATCGATAATATTAATAAGAAAACATATTACGCTCGCGATCGTGTATTAGTCACACGTGTATGCGGGATTAGTATTGCATACGTTGTCGTTGACCGTCGTATATCGAGTTATTCTGTCGATTTACTAAACTATTATTATAAGTGTGTGTTAACTGTATATTGTGTGGCACGTCAATAATGAATTCAAATAATACATTAATTTGCGAATGTGCAATTGAAAACTTGTTTTTAAAGCCTTTCGGTTCTCTAAATTTTGATGAGAAAAAAAGTATTATTGAGATTGGAAGACCCACGCCGAAATTACCGTATTTAACGACAAAATAAACTTACAATTTCAGCGCATACACTAAGCTGAAACTCACGCTACGCCACTGATATAAACCAGTACTTATTAATATTATTTATAAAATAAATGATCTAGGCATGAAAAAACAAATTAAAATAATAATAAATGAAAACATGTGACACGGTCCTACATCGCTTCGTGTTCCACGGAGCCTCACAATCTGTGCGGTCTCTATCAGCCGTTGATCTATTACGTGTAAATTGTAGTTTGACTGACTAAGTCAGGGGTCATACGAGAATAAAAGAAGCATATCATCGTGCTGTTTGCGTTTCGTGTGCAACACATTTCTTAAACCTAATTGACGAAAGTGTTTCTAGTTGTTGTACACATGATAATGCATTTTTAATTTTCTTCTAAATATTTATTATTTTTTTTCGATAGCAACCTATCACTGAGGCGTGCTAGAATAGTGCTTAACTAAACTAGAAAATTTAACTGTTAAACGATTATCTGACACCCGATGAGCTGCTAGATATTAAGTTTGTTTAAGTCTATTGAACATATAAAAATGAGAAAGTTATCTCTATAGATTTTGGATTTAGAAAAGATATAAAGAAATTAGGGAATATTATGTATATCAATATCTAATGTAAATTAATTGCCAATGGGAAGTTCCAGCTATATTTCCCGTAGCTGAGAGAGTGACTTGTTAGGAGGTAAATCTGTTGTGTGAATTTATGATGTAGAAGTTTTTAATATTGGTTCTGTCGTAATATGCTCAATGCTTTGCATTACGCATCTTACAATTATCAATGAAAAATGTATAATCTGTATTTTAGATAACTTGTAAACTAACAAATAATTTATCTGTCATAACAAATACGATGTTCAACACAATTTCTTATTATTTATATATATATGTCAATTTATCAATTGTTAGATATGTTATCTCAATATAATAATCATGTAATGTATAATTAAATACAATAAACTAAAAAGATCACTAAAAGCGCTGACAACAATATCCCTGGATTGGGGGTACTATCATTTTACTATAATAAGCACTGAAATCCTTTCAGACTTGAAGGAGTGACAGCGAGAGAGAGAGTTCGCTTTCTCCGAATTGAAATAAGAATAAATATAGTTTAAAAAAACTAAAAGACACGCTTTTAAAGCACATCGAACTAAAAAGCTAAAAATAATTTTTAAAATAAGCTTAAAACAATAATGTACGAAAAGTACTAGTATTATTGTGATAAAAGTGTCGGGCGCTCAATATACGAAAAATATGGCACAAAGCACCCACGCTTTTATCACTATAATACTAGGACTTTTCGTACATTATTGTTTTAAGCTTATTTTAAAAATTATTTTTAGCTTTTTAGTTCGATGTGCTTTAAAAGCATGTCTTTTAGTTTTTTTAAACTATATTTATTTTTCACTTTTTAGTTACATGTTATGATAGTAGTTACTATCAATATCAACGTTCTAACGGGTAAAGGGGAATCAGAGTTCGATTCCGGAGAGGGAGTCTGAGAAACGGCTACCACATCCAAGGAAAGTAGCAGGCGCGCAAATTACCCACTCCCGGAACGTGGAGGTAGTGACGAAAAATGACGATACGGGAATCATTCCCCTTAATCGGAATAAATACACTATATATCTCTTAATGGGAATAAAGCGTATTAATATATAAGTTTTAATAGTAACTAATATATATATATATATACATGTAAAGCGATTTAAGTACGTAATCGTATCATGCATGAGGTATAGCCATGTTTTGTGGGAGGGCGTGGCGGCGGGAACGTTATACACGAGGTATATACGGCGGCATCGGCATCGGCGTCGGCTGTAGAGATATATAAATGAATTTTAAC